ATATGGAGCTGAATTTCCAGGGACTCTTTTGATGGGAATTCATCTTAATTGGTGCCAGATCTTCCTGGCTCAACTGTTTGATACTCTGTTGGCTTGCCTTATCTGCACTCTCAGACTGGTGTCTGGCTCCTTTGTGTTGAATGACCCTTGGAATTTATATTGTCTGGGCTTTGTTGCGCACTCTCAACTTGATTTCTGTTAAAGGTTTCTTCCAGGATATTTGGTGAATTTCCTCACCTGGAGTCTTTAACTTGAAAATGGGCCCTGATCTTACTTTCCTTGCTATAAGTACGTTTCTAAAAATGATTTACTTATTTGTTGGGGGTGGGGAGCGAGAGCGCAACAAGCACTCATGCTCTGGTTCTGTGATAGCTTGGATTGGGCTGGGTGGAAACCAGGAACCAGAAATGCCATCGAAGTCTCCCATATGGATGGTAGGAACCCATGTACTAGAGCCATTAACTGCTGCCTCCCAGGGTCTGCATTAGCAGGAAGCTGGAGTCAGGAGATGGAGCTGGGACTGAAACCCAGCACTGATGTGGATGTCTTAACTGCTAGGCTAAATGCTAGCTCCAGCTGTGAGTACACAATGGCATGGACAAAATCCCTCTTTCTGTGGTGCAACCAACAAGGATTGGACTTTTGTTTAAAGAAGAAATTTTACTTAGAAATTAGGAAACAAACCAAATGTAGGAACAGAGTCCTGTACAAGTTCAGAGAGCCTTGATTTCCCAGTGTGCATGGCTTACAGTTCCTAGTTCATGGGTGAATCGAATATTCAAATATTTCACAAATATGGATTGGGCTCCTGTGAAGCATTGCAACTAAGCATGGGAGATTCTGTGAGCAATACTTGGGGGCTCTTTGACCTCAGAGAGATCCCAGTGCATACAAAATACAAGTGGGAAAAATGCCACCGAGTAAGGTGATACATGTGATGAGGGAGGCAGCTCAGGGTGGGATTTTGTCAACACAGTTAGGAAAGCCCCACATCGCTTCCTCTGCTTGCTGCTGTCGGATACCCTGCTGAAGTCTCTGTTTTAGTTTTGGGCACCATGTTCTTCTCATTTTCTCCTTTGCCAACCTTTGAAGGGAAGAGATTGTAGGAGGAATCATGCTTTTTGGTGCTCATGGCAACCCTGTACACAGGGCTTCTGGGGACAGTCCAACATCTCTGTATGTTCTTTTAAATGCATATGAGTCAATGAATTCACAACTCTAGGTGACTGAATTTGCATACCTCTATAGGCTTTGCATATAAACCAATATAAGAAGACCAGATCCCCTTTTCTGATTTGGAAGATATGGCCGCTTCTATAAATGAACCACAGATAGGAAGTGCTCCCTATCCTGGAATAGCTGCTGACTTTTCTGGAAGAAGCGATGGCCCAAGCTGAAGCCAGCAGTCTCTGGGGTGGCCCTGGGAGGAGCACCGGATTCCCTCTGCAGAACTGTTCTCTGGCAGGGGAAGGAAGGGCCCACATCTACCAGGGACACCTGCCTTCAGGTCACCTTCCCCAGCGGTCATTGGGCTCTGCTCCCTTGATCTGATCCTGAGCTGACAGAAAGAACTGAGCAGGGTTGGGAGGACAAGAAACAAATGGTCCCTGGGCATGGCTGGGGGCGGGGGTGGAGCTGGCACTGCTGAGAGCACTGGGGCTGCTCTGATCTTTTCCATGGATCGCATGTGGTGTCGCCAGGGCCGGGGGCACAGGGGCGGCAAGGCTGCCTTCCATGTCAGTTCCACTTCTGTCCCTTCGGTCTTGATTCTCACTCTCTGTGGCTTACTGGAAGGAAGCGCAGGGTAATGCAGAGGAACTATGGGTGTCCTGAGGTCGGGGAGGTGGGCATCTCCAGCACAAGGGAAACCCCTTTCTTCCTGAGGTTGGGCTGCTGAACCACGGTCCTCCGGAAGCCGACTCCATGTGTGAGAAGGGAAATAAGTCAGGCACTATATACTTCTTAAAGATTGATTTATTTGAAAGGCAGAGTTACAGAAAGGGGGTGGTAGAGAGACAGAGAGATCTTCCATCCTCTGGTCCATGCCACAGATAGCTGCAGTGACTGTGGGTGTCAGGCCAAAGCCAGGAAGAATAAAATTTCTCTGGGTGCAGGGGCCCAAGCGCTTGGGCCATCTTGTGCTTTCCCAGACGCATTAGCAGGGAGCTGGATCAGAAGCAGAGTGGTTGGGACTCAAACCAGTGTTGTAGTATGAGATGCTAGTGACACTAGCAGCCTCTCTTAGAGGACCTGCCAGCACCTGTCCGTTCTGCCATTCTTGTCTGTGCAAATGCCTTGCCCCGGCCTGGGGTCTCCTCCCACCCCCGCCCCCATCTGCTAAGCTAGTCCTGACGCATAGCCCAGGACAGACGCGTCAAGACAGACAGCACCTGCTCTCGCTAACATGCTCTGACTCTCCAGTTGGGAAAATCAATTTCTTGCTCATCCGTGTTCCTGTAGTGCTCTGGCAGCGGCCTCTGTGGTCTAATCAAGTCTGGTTGCAGCTGTTTCTTCCATGTCTGTCTTTCTTGTTAGACTGCGGACTCTTCCAAGTCAAGGGCCCGGTTTTCTTCCCAGGGTCGACAATATAGACGTACTCAAGCGGCATTATGTTCATGGCCAAGCCATGAGCGGCGGGCTGGATCCCAGCCCTGTGTCCAGAGGAAGGAAGGTGTGGATTGGGAGGGAGTGTGTGGAGGGAAGTATGGAAGAACATTTCTCTCTGGCTTCTCAAATGCCCGGAGGTAAGGAGAAGAGGAGGTGGCATGGGCAGGATCCAGTCATTCTTAAGACTCATTAACTTGCCCAGCGATAAGTACCCACAGGAGGAAGAACCTCTGCATGCAGTAAAGAACGCACTGGAGCGAGAAGTCTTGGGTTCAAGTCCATGTGCTTATCGTGGCCTGCTGCTCCTGTCAACTATTCTGAGCCTTAGTCTTGCTCTGGGAAAAACACTTGTCTTGTGGTTTTACAGCAAACACAGAGCAACACTGCTTGTGTGCTCAGTCCTGACTCCTTCCAGTCTGGGCACTCTGCCTGTCTTGCAATTAGGTGGATGTGTGACGAGGTTCCGGCCCGTGACTGCAAGTGGAATCGACGTACAAACCTCGCAGGAAGTCCTTCACTCCCACTCTCTTTCCTTGACTGTGCACTGCAAGTAAAGGACTTAGGAGGCTGTGGGCAAGGCAATGCTGCGTGATGAAAGGAGCCCGGGACCCCGATGTCCACATGCAGAAATTTCCCCTCCTCCCTGCCTGCCTGCCTTGAACTGTGATAAGAACAAGAAGCACTTTCATTATGTTAAGCCACTACAATTTGGGGGTCATTCTTTACAGCAGTTAGCTTACTTTGAAAGGGTTTAAATGGATGAAAGTTCTTCAGAAACTTCAAAGTGCTCTACTAATGTTCCCGGTTATGGCTTTTATTCTGGAAAACCTTTGGCATGCACTGCTGGGAAATTTTTTTTCCCAGGCTTTGTATAAGTCCCTGCATCTTCTCCGGGATGGAGCAGGGACCCAGGGAGGCCCTTGGACAATAGGCAGTGGTCCCCCTGCACAGAGATATACATGGCTGGTGGCCAGGAGGGGGAGCTCTGATTGGCCCTTGCGTCGGGCATGGAGATGGAGGAGCAGGTGTATCCTGGAATAGGCACTGGGTCGCAGTACCCAGCATTTGGGGCCATCTGGTGGGCTTGGGGCCAGCAGTCTGGACATTGGCTATTGGTGGGGAGGTTGGACATTCCAGGACTTAAAAAAAAGAAAAAGAAATGGAGGTGAAGTTGGATCAGCTGTCAACAGGCCCTGGGAGACCTGGTTGCTCATGAGAGACACCCAGAACCCATTCACTTCACACGTGTCTGTTCCCAGGGTTGGCTCTCACATGGGTCTTCACTACGGTCTTCTGACCCAGCTCAGCAGAGGCCTGGTAGAAGACACAGAACTCCCTGCAGGTGTTGACTTGTCCCTCTGAGCTGGGCAGAGAGTGGGTGGATAGCCCAAGGAAACCTGGGCAATCAGGGGACCGCACTCCTGACTCATAGAAAGAAGAAGGAAGGAAAAGAGCTGGGTTCGCTTCATGGCTCACAGGTGATGGGCCAGACCCTTTGTCTGCACTGACTCTGAACCCCTGCAACAACTCCGAGATAGATATTGTTGTTCCCACTCTTAGAAACCGAGAACCAGAGAGGTAGAGCAACTTGCCGAGGCTCTCACAGATAACGAGCATCGGAACCAGATTCAGATCCCAGCCTCCGACTCAAAGGTCCGTGTCCCAGACGCTGAATCCTGAAGCCTTCCCTACTAAGTAGAGGAACAGTTCTTCCTCCCAGGTCAGGGCTGACAAGAGCGACCCCTGGCTCCGTCCTTGGATTCTTCATGGTGTGACAGCTCTGTCCAGGGGGAAGCCTACGTCTCTCCTGATTTGGGGGCAAACTCCTCGCTGTGAGCACGGGAAGCCTTAGGTCAGCAGGCTGAGACACCTGGGAAAGGAAACGGAGAGGGGGCCAGGCTGGGTGTTGGGGAGAAGGAGAGGACGAGAGAAGGGAGAGGAAGAAGCAGCGGAGAAGGTAGCACTTGGAAAGGAAGGGGGAAGTCACGGAGAGAGGAAGCCGCCGCTTCTCCCCAAACCACCCCTTCAGCTCAAAGCTGCTTTTCCTGGGAATGTGTGCAGGAGGCCTCCGGGGGGAAAGTCATCCTTCCTGGTTCAGACAACAGGCCTGGCTGGGGCTCCAGGGAGGATGCTGCCTTCCTGGTTCAGACGACAGGCCTGGCTGGGGCTCCAGGGAGGATGCTGCCGCCTGGGTTTCTGGAAGGCCGTGCAGCCAGCTCCCCCGAGAAATGCCTGGCTCGACAATGCGATGTTCGTCTTTTTCCAGCTGTCATTCTGTTAATGTTTGTGTCTAATGTGAAAAGCTTTCAACACATAAAGCATAGCATCCGGCAGCACTTCTCTGACCCTGATTGGGAGGATGAAGTGCATTAAAAAGCAAATTGCTTCTCCAGTTGCAGGTCTCTGGCAAGGGAGGCTCTGGGCTGCATCCGAGAACAGCTGGAGTCCTCCGCGGAGCTTCCCCGCACGCCGGCCTCCCGCCAGCTTCCCCAGCGCCTTGCCGCAAGGCTGAGCTCCAGGGAAGGTAATGAGGGCTCCGGCCAGTGGCTTGTGGAGAAGATGCGCTTTGTGTGTTGTTCTCACACTTGGAGGGAAGTCAAGGAAGGGGCAGCAGCTGAGCCTGCTACCCTGGTGTCCTGACGGGGGAAAAGTCTCACTAAACCTCTCGCTATGGAATTCCTCTGTCTTGGAAAATCGGGGTTCTACAAGGTGTTTAAAGCTAATCTGCTAGAACCACTTGTTTATTTTACTTTCAAAATAATCCTTTTTCTCCCCCTGCTTAAAATAAGCATTGCCTTTAGTTCTCCCAATCTGAAGGGCTCTGCAGGTCTTTTTCATTGGCTGAATTATGAGAAGATGGGTGAGGTCATCGTCAGTGTGTTAATTATAGCAAGGCTGGAGGGAAAACTCAACCTCCTTTGATAAACAGAGCTTAGCTATGTCGTAGGACAATTTTCTACAGCAAACATCTTGGCACATGTTTTCTTCTATAGACTTCAGTGCTTGCCTGGTTATAGGTTAATTGTCCTTAGAATGCTTAAACTGTTCGATAAGATAGCAAAGTTCTTTCCGTTCTTTTTATCATAAGCAAACTTACAAGGAAACTCAACTTTATAATGGTGAGAAGCAGAGAAAGTATGGATTTAACCTAAATTTTGTATCGGATGTGTAAATATTTTCTAACCTTCTTCATCTGTCAAAGCAAAATCCCATGCTAACCCAAAGTTCTGCATCTTCAAAGCACTTGTGTCGCTGGTTTCTTTGTTTCATGTTTTTTCTTCATGTTTTTGTATTAGGTGCCATTTACTCAAGGTTGAGTAAAGGGACCTGAGGCTTATTATGTATGGAATATTTATGCAAAATGTATATGAAGCTATGTCTGTTTCCACATCTAGTTGTGCTGTTTCCAGAGCCAGCTCCCCTGTAACTCTCTGCGGCAGGTTTGGAGACAGCTGAAAGCTTGCCTTGCAAGCAGAAGTCCTGAAGAGCTGTCTTCAAATGCGGCCTTCTCACTGTGGGGGTGTGGCCGAGCGGCCAAGATGGCCGTGTCCCACCTTGGACTACCTGGTGCTGAGACCTGGCTCTGTTTCCAGGTCCAGCTTTCTGCTAATGCAGACTCTGGGAGGCAGCAGGTGATGGCTGAAGCAGTTGAGTCCCTGCCACCCATGTGAGAGACCTGGACTGAGTTCTGGGCTCCTGGCTTCAGCTTAACCCAGCCTTTGCGGTTGCAGGCTTTAGAGGGGGGTGGGTGGGTTGAGCCAATTTCTGTTTATTTCTCTTTCTCTCTCTCTCAAAAAATAAATTAAAAAAATGTAAAAAGGTCGTTAAAAATTGTGGCCCCCTTTAGGTAGCAGCAGAAACATGAATATGAAGGCTTTTGCTGTAAGGAAGCCAACCCTGGGGGAACACAAGAGACAGTGTCATAGAATTAGAGGGACACGAGGTGTGTGTTCCTTGTCCAATATGTGGTCTTGTCTGAACTGTATCCACAGCAGCACTCCCTGTGAACGCAGCACCCACCCTGGGGACAGGCATACAGTAGGTGCTTACTGAATGTTGAATGGTTAGATAATGAATCAGTGAGCAAACCTGCTGGGAGGAGGCTGAGCTTACTGTCTCCCAAGCTGCCTGCAGAGAACGTGGCTGCTCCCCTGAGCCGTGGCTGGCCAGCGGGGCCCTGTCTGCCTTCCCTGGAGTCAGCCAGTGAGCGATGGGGGGACATTGGGGGCAGCTGCTCACAGAGCATCCCGGCTGGTCGTCCTGGACATGGACTAGCAGCTGGAGGACCGCTGGGCCTTCCCGGGCTGTGCACTAGACCAGGAGTCAGCCGACTCTCTCTAAAGGGCGGTGCAGCAAATATTTCAGGATCCGTGGGCCACGCAGGTCCTGTCACAACCACTCAGTCTTGCCATTGTGGTATGAAAACAGACCCAGTTAAAGATCAACAATGGAGTGTGGCCATGTTCCACTGAAACCATACCTATGAAAACAGGCAGGGGGCAGAGTCCACGGGAGTGGTGGAGAGCATGACCTGGGACCAGGCAGCCTGGGTCTGAATTCTGTCCCACCCCTTCCCAGCGGGGCGCCTCTGAGGTGCTGCTGAATTTCTCCGTGCCGCAGCAGTCTCATCTGTAAAGGGAGGGTCGCGATGGTGTCTGTCTCCTACGGCGACAGTGGGAGCTGAGTGAGATAACGCCAGTGAAGTGCTTAGAATGCTTAGGGCGTTAGCACCTGCACACGAACAGTATGCAGTAGGTGTTAGCTTTTTCAAAAAATTATTTTCATTTGTACTTCAGAATTACAGAAAGAGAGGGAGAGACAGAGGCAGAGAGAGATCTTCCATCTACTGGTTCACTCCCCAAATGGCCGAAACAGCAGGGACTGGGTTGGACTGGGCTGAAGCCAGGAGCCTGGAGTCTCTTCCAGGTCTCCCACCTGGGTGCAGGGGTCGAAGGACTTGGGTCATCCTCTGCTGCTTTCCTGGGCGCATTAGCAGGGAGCTGGATTAGAAGTGGAGCAGACGAGACTCGAACTGACACCCATATGGGATACCGGTGCCACAGATGGTGCTGCTGAACCCACTGTGCCACAGTGCTGGCTCCGGATGTGAGTTCTTATTAACTTTAGTTCCAGTCCTCAGCACAGTGGCTGGCCCATGGAGGATCCCTGATGAGTACTTACGACACAAGTCTGAGGGTCAGGGAGGCCGGATGTCCCGTGGGGCGTCTCAGCAGCAGAGCCCTGTCACCTGTCACGTAGCCCTGTGACCATCTCTCAGACTCTCCTGCTTTCTGAAGCCTTTGAGGACCTGACGCTTTCTGGTTGTGAAGACTTCAAGCTACCTGTCGTCTCATCATCCTCCACAGGACAACGCTTTCTGCTTTCACTCTCCCAACCCTGAAAACCATCTTCCCTTAGGGCTGGGGCTTAGGAAAACCCCCTGCAGCTTCCGGGTGACTGTGTGCCTGCAGCACATGCAAGTGTGTGTGTGTGTGTGTGTGTATGCATGTGCATATGTGTGCGTGTGTGCACACACCCTCCTTCTGAAGTGGCCCCAGCACCACCCTTTCCCAGGTCTGGCCCAGCCACAGTGTTGGGGGGAGGGTTGAGGCCTGGGTAACGAGGTGCAGATGCAGAGAAGAGAGGAACACAGGGTACTGGAAGGGGAGCCTTAGCCTAAGCTGACTTCCGCCTCCTCCTCACCTCCTCCCTTCGGCTGACTGGGGAGCCAGTGCGTGAAAAGACCCAAAGGAGGAATTTCACACCCTATTTATCTTCCTGGGGTTCACCAGCTTCACACTTGAGTAGCTGTTGCTGCTCTCCTCCCTGCCATTCTCAGTCACTTCCCTCCCCTCTCCTTGGCCACCACGGTGGAGGGAGGAAGGCAAGCACTGGGGCGCGTGGACCGTGGAGGGAACTGGCCATGTGAATGCCCAGGAGTCATGGGGAGGCGCCGGCAGAGTCCACGGAGGTCGCCTGTTGGGGATGGCCGTGGGGGAGCAACCCACCCCCCAGTGATGGGGTCCGGTGTGCGAGCACCAGGTGCTCCCTCTGCTTCACCACCACCACACGGCTGCCCCAGCCGACGTGACTGCCCGCTCACCCCAGACGGGCTTGGAGAAAGACAGAGCCCAGCCTCTTTGGTATTCTGTGAGCCTAGTGCCTTGCTGCCTTCTCCTCGTGGGAGCTAACTCCCCTCACTCTCACAGGTCACCAATGTGGCTGCAGGCTGGGAGGGTACCAGAGAAGTTTCCCGAGGTGGCGGTGGTTGCTATAAACGCACTTATTTTGGTTGGGCCAAGCCAGCCGTGGCAACCAACCATGAGTATTTCCATACACAAGTAAGGCTGCTGGCAAACATCTGGAGGGATTTTTTCGCAGGGTCCACTTACCTTTTGCACCATCCATGCCTCGCTCGAATTCCCCTAGTTCCAACCATCCTCTTGTGAATCAACAAGGCCCCGTGGAGCAAGCCCGCTAGACAGGCAGTGAGAAGGCCCTGCAGAAGTCCAGCCACAATGGGAGGGGGACTGACACCCGGGGTAGGGGAGGAGGCACCTTGGCTTCGATTCTGGGCTACAAGAAGTCAGCGTGACCTGGGCTGGAGGAGCTCTCTCGTCTCTGGCCCATGGCTCCCTTTCATTTCCTCCCTTAATCTCAGAAGAGCAAGACGCTGGCCAGAAACTGGCCCAGGGGGCCTTGAAGGTAGGGACTGGGAATTGGGATTTTCTTTGAGAAGAAAATGGCTTGCACTTTGCTCCTTGGTGCTCTGCCAGACTGACTATTAGGGCTCTTTCTCTCTCCCTCTCCTGCAGGGCCTCTTAGTACAGCATCACCGCAGGCTGCATGGGCTGGGGGCAGGCTGTAAACTCCGAGGTGGCAAAGCTGTGCGCTGGTGTGTGTGTGTGTGTGTGTGCACACGCGCAATGGGGTGCAGCCTTGGTCAGATGCTCGGAGAGTTTAGTGGCCCTGAAGGTGTGGAGAAATTGTTTGTCTATGGGAACAGAAACTTGCTCTGGGGAAGGTTGGCCAGGCTGCTTCTTATCCAGGGGTGGGGCTTTGGCTGTGGGTGGTGGCTGGAAAGGGCAGGAGGCACTGGGGACTTGTTAGAGCTGTCTGGTCTACATCCCTGGACCTCGGAAGAGCTTTCATTCGGGGGCATTTTAGAATCAATGTTGTTCATGTTCATCTTTTCCTAAATATTTACTTTTACCCTTTGCCTCCTTGCTACTGAAACCAAACCAAAACAAAATAGAACAAAACAAAACATAAAAATAAAAAAATTAAATCAACCTCAAGAGAATAGAGGGCAAGTCACAGACTGGGAGAAAACATTTACAAAAGGCATTTCTGATAAGGACAGTTATCCAAAATAAACAAAGAACACTTGAAAACTCAACAACGAGAAGATAAGCTGATTAAAAAACAAAGATCCTAACAGACACCTTGCCAAAGAGGATGTATAGATGGAAAATGAGTATGTGAAACATGGTCCACATCATATGTCATTTGGGAGTTGCAAAT